TCAGCCTCAGCATCCGGATCTGCAGGAATTCCGGGAAAATTCCGGATTTGGAATGTTGGGATCGACCCCTCGGGTCCTAAAATCCCAAAATTCCCACAAAAATCCCATTTAAAATACTCAAAATCAGCCCATAAACGCCCTCGGCCGCCGCCTCGGACAGCAGCTTCAGCCTCAGCGTCCGGATCTGCGGGAATTCCGGGAAAATTCCGGATTTGGAATGGTGGGATCGACCCCTCGGGTCTTAAAATCCCAAAATTCCCATAAAAATCCCATTTAAAACACTCAAAATCTGCCCCTAAACCCCCTCGGTTGAGGCATCCCAGAGCAGCTTCAGCCTCAGCCTCCGGATCTGCGGGAATTCCGGGAAATTCCGGATTTGGAATGTTGGAATTAAGGTTTTCCAGGTCCTCAAATCCCAAAATTCCCACAAAAATCCCATTAAAGACACCCAAAATCTGCCCCTAAACCCCCTCGGTTGAGGCATCCCAGAGCAGCTTCAGCCTCAGCGTCCGGATCTGCGGGAATTCCGGGAAAATTCCGGATTTGGAATGCTGGGATCGACCCCTCGGGTCCTTAAATCCCAAAATTCCCACAAAAATCCCATTTAAAACACTCAAAATCTGCCCCTAAACCCCCTCGGTTGAGGCATCCCGGAGCAGCTTCAGCCTCAGCCTCCAGATCTGGGGAGAATTCCAGGAAAATTTGGGATTTGGAATGTTGGGATCAACCCCTCAGGTCCCAAAATCCCCCAAAAAACCCCAAAATCCCATAAAAATCCCAGGAAAAAGAGTCAAAATCAGCCCCAAAACTCAGAGGAGGCCTCACCAAACCCTACCCGAGCAGCGTCCCGAAAATGAAATTTTGGGGAATTCCTGCAAATCTGGAGCAAATTCCTGGGAATTCTGCCAATCCTAAAGACCCCGAATCCCCCAAAAAACCTGAAAAATGCCCCCAAAAATTCCAAAATTCCCCAAAAAGCCCCAAAACTCCCCAAAAACTCACCATGAAGATGAAGATGCTGAGGCAGCACCAGCTCAGCGCCGCGTAGTACCCGGCCCTGCCCAGCAGCAGCCCGGCCAGCAGCCCCACAATCATCCTAAAAACGGCAAAAATTGGGGATTTCACCCCAAAATTGGGGGGGTTTACCCCACTTCTGGGATTTCACCTCAAAAGTGGAGATTTCCACCCCAAAAAAGGGGGATTTTAGCCCAAAAAAGTGGGATTTTACCCCAAAGTTACGGGGTTTTACCCCAAAATTGGGGATTTCACCCCAAAATTGGGGGGGTTTACCCCACTTCTGGGATTTCACCTCAAAAGCGGAGATTTCCACCCGAAAATTGTGGGATTTTAGCCCAAAAAAGTGGGATTTTACCCCAAAGTTTCGGGGTTTTACCCCAAAATTGGGGATTTTACCCCAAAATTGGGGATTTTACCCCAAAATTGGGGGGGTTTACCCCAGTTCTGGGATTTCGCCTCAAAAGCGGAGATTTCCACCCCAAAAAAGTGGGATTTTACCCCAAAGTTACGGGGTTTTACCCCAAAATTGGGGATTTACCCCAAAATTGGGGGGATTTACCCCAGTTCTGGGATTTCACCTCAAAAGCGGAGATTTCCACCCAAAAATTGTGGGATTTTACCCCAAAAAAGTGGGATTTTACCCCAAAGTTACGGGGTTTTACCCCAAAATTGGGGATTTTACCCCAAAATTGGGGGGGTTTACCCCACTTCTGGGATTTCGCCTCAAAAGCGGAGATTTCCACCCGAAAATTGTGGGATTTTA